CATGGTACTAGTCACAGTTGTGAAGTCCTTGAAGAGAGTTCAGGCTTATGGGTTTTTGGTGAAGTAGCTCTGATTGTCTTTTTGGGTTAATATAATTTATAGTGATTTCGATTATATTCTTAAGAGGATTATAGAACCTAACCTTCTAAAGTTCACAAGAACAGGAATGACATCAGTTTAAAAAATCTTAATAACAACTTCCACTTTATCTTCACTAGCTGAGAACTTATCCTGTCATTATCTACAAAAAATTGAAGTCAGTGAAGGTTTCCTGTCTCGAAACAACAGAAATTTGAGATTTACCACAACTTTATGAAATTCTGCATGATTAGTTACAAGTGTTTTCCAATGAGAACTCATTAACACCACAGTTATTTTTCCCTTAACTTTTGGATTTGACTTATTTACTTCCTTGCATAATATATAACCAATAATTGTATTGCCATCACACCTACCATGAACAGAGGAGTTATCAATAGTAATCATAGTCATATTTACAATGAGACTACAAAGAAATTACCAGTATTACTGGTATGCAGTTATTTTGAAAAATCCTCTAATATTTTTTTATCTTTTTTTTTTAAAGTAAAAAAAATCCTCTAATCTTATCTTTGGAGAAACAAGAAAGTTTAGTTCCACTTTTTATTGCAAATTAGTATGCACCCAATTGGAGCAGTAGCACAACCAAAACCAAAAAGGATAAAACTGAATCATTCTTCTATTAAAAAAATAAATAAATAAAAGAAAATAAAAAAAACCAGCAACTTCATAAGACAGAAAAACACAGCTTACAACATATGAATCCTCAAATCTAGTGAATATGTAAACAACACATGAATTGAAATCATGTCAGCAGAAAGTAACAACAACTTAATTGATTAAAATTTTCAACACATAGTATCATTTACAGAGAGACTCTACAACTTTCTAGGGGAAGGCAGAGATGAAAGAAGAAATTGGAAAATAGTACCCGGGTTAGAGAGGGTTAGGGCTTATCCCTATGCTTGAAGAAATAACTTCTGCGATTGAAGAAAAAATTAGAAAATTGATGAGAGTTCAGAGAAGGAAGAAAGCAGAATAATAAAGATCAATGAAAGTTTAGAAAAGGAAGAAAGGAGAACAAGGCCAGTACCTGGGCGATTTTCCTCTGAAGGTGAAACTTGCAAAAGACAAAGCTTCAAACAATCAGCCTTTGTGATTGAGGCAAAGTTATGTCAGTGCTTAGAAAGGGTTAGGCTTTCATTGATGGATTCAATAGAGTGAGGGCTAGGTCTCATTTGAGAATGGGAGAGAGAAGGGTCTGCACAAATAGAAATATGAAAGAGCATTAGGGCTCTAATTAGGTCAAAGTACCTATTTCAAGAGTTATAACGTGACCGGAGGCTGAGATGACGGTAAAAAACCCCAATTGTTTGCAACCGTCCAGTTATTGCCGCTACACCAGAAATTAGAAAGAGAAAGGTTAGGGTTTCAGCAAAGAGGGAAAGAGGAACCGTTGAGCCTGAGTATTTGATTTCCCTTTAGCAGATCGAAGATTGTTCGTGCCATGGCATATTGTATCTGTATCGCAGGAAACAAGTGAGGGAGAAAGAGTCGTGAGAGAGGGTTACACCGAATGGAATATGAAAGGCCTTAGGGCTTGAAATTAGGCAAGTGTAGAAAAGGGCATTTTAGGCAACACATAAAATAGGAAGAAGGGTATTTTAGGCAACAGAAATATCAAACAGTATTTTTTCATGTGCCACCTCAGCTTTTGGGTCAAACCCATTTTAAAGAAACTATGGGACTTTAACTCAATCTCTTAGTAAATATGATACCCTAAGTCCATTTATGTGTAATAATCCCTATAATTTATAACGATTTCGATTATATATCCTAAAGAGTATGATAGTGTGCAGGGGTATTTTTCAGAGGATTATACATTCTTAAGAGGATTATAGAAACTAACCTTCTGAAGTTCACAATAACAGGAATGACATCAATTTAAAAAATCTTAATAACAACTTCCACTTTATCTTCACTAGATGAGAACTTATCCTGTCATTATTTACAAAAAATTGAAGTCAGTGAAGGTTTCCTGTCTCGAAACAACAGAAATTTGAGATATATCATTTTTCATATATTGGTCAAGTCAAATGCTCAAAGAATATTCTTTCAAAAGAACAAAGAGGCTCAAGAAAGATGCTGATTGCGAGTGTTAATCATCGAACACAGACAATTATGTTATGTGAAAACCATTGTAGCAGAAAGTACATAACCAATCCAATTATTTTAGTGCATAATAGGATATAGCTTATTTTAGCAAATCAACCATTTAGTGGGTACATTCAATTTAAAGCCACTGTCTAGAAAGCACTAAGTTTAAAAAGTATGGAACACATATTGGTTAGTATTTAAAGAGTATGATACGAGCACGATAAGAGTAATTCCTTGCTTCTTAAGTGACTACTCCTCAAATTTTAACTCTTGTTTTTCAATTGCAATGTAAAACATTTTATAAGTGCCAGCGATCCAACCCGTAAAATCACGCTCTCTACATTTTTCCTATTAAATTGAGTGAAAAAAAAAAGGAGTTGCAGCCGGCTCCTTTTGTGTAGTCCCCTTATATCTAATAGTTTCTATCTTTCTTTTTAGAAAACCCAATAGCCTACAATAGCAAGATATTGACAAGATATTTAAATATTCTATACTCAAAAAACAGATAACACATTAACAAGATATATAAAGACTACCAAAAAAGAATATGGAGCTAGAGTCCCAAAAACTTTTAGGCCAATGATTAAATTGCAACGACCGTTCAAGACTCTATTTTTTAAAGCCAAACTGAATATATATATAATATTACAAGCAATAGATAATAATCAAGTTTCTATTTTGTTTTCACTTATTAGATGCATGAAATGGATCAAAAAGTTAAGACAAACACTAACTTATGAAATTAGTGTTACATTTCTGCATTTCCAAATAAACCTTTTAAATTAATAGTAAAGCTATCCAAAGATCTCCAGTTGACAAGAGCCATGAATTCTCTTTATGGATAGGACTGATATAAGATTCTCAGACTGTGTTTTTACATTCACAAATTACGATATTTTTCTCAATCCAATAGCCAGTGAAGAGAGCTTATGACTCTTTTCAAGAGAGGGTGACTTCTCCTTTAAATTGATGTCTATTTCCAGCTGAAAGTAACTTTCATTGATAAATTATCCACCACCAACAAAAGTTACTGATCATAATGTGTGAACAAAAAATGAATTCTGAAGTTTGAATGTCCATAGTGTAACATTAATGCCAGACACCCAATATGTTAATTATTATAAATATCATACTTTATCATCATATAAATAAGCCTAAATACTACAAGAAATTTCTTGAGACACCATGTATGTTCTCACCAGGACTAAATGTTCTCATTTCATGACATCAACTGCTTTGTACTCATATTTGAGATCTATGTTGAAAGAGGCGATAACTAATGGTCAATAATTAACAAAAAAAAAATTTTTTTAACTAAAATCAAATAAAAAATCAGGGTTTTAGAAAGTGAAACCGGCAGAAGAAATTGACTGATCAAAATTTAGAGAGCGAAAGTAGTAGAGTGAGAGAGACCTTTGAAGTTGAGAGCGATACGAACACGGCAAGAGCAAGAGCTCCCCCAGGAAGAATATAGCTTCAGCTTCATTGGCTCCTCACCATTACTCCCCTATTCACAAACAACCAATAGCTTGTTAGACAGTTAAATCAATCAGTTGAGTCTGTAGTGATTGATGTGATGGTGCTCTGTGCAATTGATTGATGATGAAGTAAGAAAATTTTAGTGACAATTTCTTTTAAAAAAAAAATTAAAATTAAAATAAATTGGAAACAGAGCAACTGATTCACAACGAATTTGAGAGACACCAACCATAGTGCACGATAAGAGTAATTCCTTGCTTCTTAAGTGACAACTCCTCAAATTTGAACTCTTGTTTTTCAAGTGCTATGTAAAACATTTTATAAGTGCCAGCGATCCATGATGTAAAATCACGCTCTCTACATTTTTCCTATTAAATTGAGTGAAAAAAAAAAAGGAGTTGCAGCTGGCTCCTGTTGTGTAGTTTCTATATTTATTTTTAGAAAACCCAATAGCCTACAATAGGAAGAAAACCCTAATTTTACAAAACCCAATAGCCTACAATAGGAAGAAAACCCTAATTTTAGAAAACCCAATAGCCTACAATAAGAAGAAAACACAAAAACAAGAACCATTACAACAAAAAAGCTTAAGAAACACCAAATCATCATAACTCAATCCAAATTTACAGCTGAAAAAAGAAAACAAGAAAAATTCAACCGAAACAATGAAAATGCACTGACAAATGTATGGTTTGAAGCTCACCGAGAACCCTTGATCCCTCTTCTGAGCCCATTGTAGCTGGACTGAAAATTGAGCTGGGTTTCTCAATTCCTACAGCGATAAAGCTAGAGAGAGAGGGTGGAGGGACCGGCTTAGAAAGAGTCGTGGAGAAAGAGAGAGAGAGAGAGCAGCGATGAGAGAGAGCAGCGAATGAGAGAATTTTATTTTTAGGGCCAAAGAAGATCGTATTTACCGAACGAATTAGGGCAATATATTAAATTATGGAGAAAGGGCATTTTAGGCAACACCAAAAAAAGTGAGAAGGACATTTTTGGCAAAACATTTCTTAAACAGTAATAATTCATGTGCCACGTCAGCAATTCATTTTAGGGAAATATGAAACTTTGACTCCGCCTCTGAGTAAATACGGAGCCCTAACCCCATTTATATGTAATTATCCCATAATTTTACAGGAGGACTTTTCATATCAGGGTTCAGAAGTGTTTTATCTCCTAAATTAAAAATTAAAAAGAAATATATCTTGTGATTTTGTTACAGTATTAAAAAAACAAAAGTAATGCATACAATTCAACCCCAAGTCAACTCTTTCTTCCTTTATAATCTAATAAAATATAAAAAGCTTTCACGTCCGTGATTGTGTATTCTTTGTTTCGTCCCATATGCAAGGAGCCTCATTCTTATTACCGACAAAAGTATCAAACAATTCCCAACCAAATTTCATGGAAAAACTTTATCCCCATCACATCTTTTACTCTCTTTTCTATCTTCTCATCTTCCTCATCTTTCAATTCTCATCCATTTCACTTCTCGCATCAGCTTACACATTACCTGATATTTACTTCATCAACTGTGGGTCAGACTCAAACGCCACAATAAACAACCGGAACTTCGTCGGAGATGCCACCACCTCCTCATTCGGCTTCTCTGCCGGCCAAAGTAGTCCTGTCAAAGCCTCCAACTCATCTACACAGACCGAGACTCGAACTCTCTATCAATCAGCAAGAGTCTTCACAAACCCATCATCTCCATATGAGCTCGACATACAGCAAAGTGGCACTTACATGGTACGCTTCCATTTCTATCCTTTTTCATCCCCAAAACATAATTTATTCGATGCCCAATTCAATGTTTTGGCTTATGGGTTTTCGATTCTATCGAATTTCACTGCCAAAAATAGTAGTAAATCACCTTTAATTGAGGAATTCTTGCTCACCATCAATGTTGGGAAATTCAAAATTTACTTCAGACCTTCCCAAAATTCATCATTCGCATTTGTGAATGCTATAGAAGTGTTCATTGTCCCTGAAGATTTCATACCTGATAGTGCCACTCTTGTCACTCCTTCGGCAACTAACACTTCTAATTACAATGGTTTGCTCTCTCGGGCTTTACATACAATTCATAGGATTAATGTTGGTGGTGTTAATGTCACACCGAATAACGATACATTGTTGAGGAGTTGGGTACCTGATGATGATTATCTATTTCAACCCGATACTGCAAAGAAGAGTGAATTTTATAGTGGCTTGATTTTGTCTACAAATAAATATATTGCTCCTGATTTTGTCTACAAGACTGCTAAGGAAATGAATATAGACTCAAGCAGGGGATTTGATTTTTTCAATATAACGTGGCGATTAGATGTGAACAAAAAAGCTAGACATTTTGTTCGTGTTCATTTCTGTGACATCATTAATGCGACTCTTAAAAACTTCAAGTTCAATCTCTATGCTGATGGCAAGTTCAGTCAGGTAATAATTCCTCAGTTGGCTGCTCCCTCTTACTTCGATTACGTGGTTGATTCTGATAGTTCTGGTTATATGAATATAAGTGTTGGTCCTAGGAGTGATTCAGTTAATAAAACTGCATTTCTGAATGGAGTGGAGATTATGGAATTAATGAAGGAAGATGACCCTTCGAAAAGGCATCTGTTTATAATAATTGGAGCGGTTTTTGGAGGTTTGGCCTTTTTCGTGTTGAGTTTGATGGTGGTGTTGTTTTGGAGAATGAGATGCAGGAAAGCAAAGCCTAATGAGAGTGTGCATTGGCCTATGGTGCCTCTGTATGGAGGGAGTTCATATGATCAGATTACAGAGAGAACTGCCAATGGCTCCATTGTTCCCCATTTTTATCTCGGGTTGAAGGTACCAATGGCTGAAATACTCTATGCAACAAACCATTTCGATAACAAACTGATGATTGGAGAGGGTGGGTTTGGGAGAGTCTATAAAGGAACTCTTAGGAGTGGTATGAAAGTGGCTGTCAAACGAAGCCATCCACACCACGGTCAGGGCATTTCAGAATTCCAAACGGAGATCATGGTTTTGTCCAAAATCCGACATCGCCATCTTGTTTCCTTGATCGGATACTGTGATGAAGGTTCTGAGATGATACTGGTTTACGAATTCATGGAGAAGGGGACACTGAGAGATCACCTATACAATACTAGTGAAGAGGACACTGAGAAATCATTTTCAGAATCCGAAATGTCGTGGAATAGAAGGCTTGAAATTTGCATTGGTGCAGCCAAGGGTCTTCATTACCTTCATACTGGTTCTGGTTCAGACGGGGGAATCATTCACCGTGATATTAAGTCCACAAACATCTTGCTTGATGAACAATATGTGGCTAAAGTTGCTGATTTTGGTCTTTCGAGGACACGTCCTCCCGATCAAACACATGTGAGCACGGATGTAAAAGGCAGCTTTGGTTATCTTGATCCCGAATATTTCAAATATCTTCAATTGACACAGAAATCGGATGTGTATTCTTTCGGAGTGGTTCTTCTTGAAGTGCTTTGTGCAAGGCCAGCTCTTAATAACTTACTTCCGTATGATCAAATAAACTTGGCGGAATGGGGGATGTCTAGGCAAGCAAAGGGGCAGCTTGAAGAAATTGTTGATCCTATGCTGGCGGGCAAAATCAATCCGGACTCATTGAGAAAATTTGGTGAAACAGTAGGGAAGTGCTTGAAGGAATGCGGTGTTGACAGGCCGAGTATGTATAATGTATTGTGGGATTTGGAATATGCGCTGCAGCTTCAACAAATTGCAATAAGATACAGGGAGCCACACGAGGACAGCACAACAGATGCTTCATGGGTGTTGTTACCGTTGAGTGGTGTTGTTCAGCGGTTACCTTCTCAAAGCATCACAATTGAGGAATCTGCAAATGATGGTTCGGATTCAACAAGTCTTCTGAGTGCTAGTCAAGTGTTCTCACAATTGAAGATTGATGATGCCAGATAATGTGATGGTTTGAGGTACAGTTTGTTGTTTTTACTGGATTTGTTGATTTGGTTTGTTTTCTTCTTGATCTCGGGCCTGCAAAAATCAAGTATATATATATCCTGAGAAGTGCTAACAAAATTTAGCGAGAGTTGCACACATGTTTAATTAGAAAGAGTGCCAAAAGCAAATTGAAGTATTAATTTTTGCACATATTTGCTATTTTTATCTCTTCAATATATGTTATGCAATTAAAAGACAAGGATTATGTTACAGAAACAATGGAATTACTAAGTTATTGAAACAAACAATTACAAAAATAGATTTTTGAAACACATTTGAGTCCTGCTGGTGATAAACATGTTGAATTTTCTTTACTTTTTGCAATTAAATCGATACTTCTTCAATCTAATTTTGATTCATTACTTACATTTTGATCCTTGCATTCTTGTTGGTGTTGAACTGCAGGAAGTTTCTGTACCAGGAAAATGTATATATATATGTTGCAGGAAGTCTGAACACGGTACAACTCTCAAGTGGTTTCCTTACCCTTATCAACTCAATTCTAGTAGTATTCTTATTACTCTGTTTCCAGTAGGTAAGCTTACAAGCGCAATACGGGAGAGGGACAATCCTAACCTAACTATCTCAACTCAAAAAATTTGGTTTCGTAAGAAAGAAAATTAATGAAAATGAAAAAAATAATATGTGATCATTGTAATGTCATTCTTCATTAATAACAAAATAGTCGGAGTTGTTAATACCTAACCCTAATGTTATGTTTGGAATTGGAGAAAATTTATTAATTTCTGAATATAAGTACTGAATCTAATGAGGGACCCAAGTAAGATTACAGATCAGTTGTGGGTCAAAACAAGCCACACAGCTGGCCAAAGCCCAGAATATACTCATTGAGTGGCTATAGTTGCCATACTTGGCATTATATTAAAAGCCCAATACGATAGATATAGCGAAACCCACTCATCTTCATTCAGTTTTAAAAAGAGGTTTTTCTTTCTATATATTGTGTGTTCATCACCTCCTTCACTCCTAATCATCAGTAGTGATCATACTTCAATTCCATCTTTTCCATTATGCTTTTTAAAAAGCTTGAAAGACTATATATATATGTGTGTGTGTTACACCTTAAATCATAGCCATCACCAATCTGTAAAAGAAGTCTGTGTCTATGGAGGGTGGGAATGTACATGCATTCACCATCAGCAACCACTCTGATTGATGATTCACTTAATCTTAACATAATCCTGGCATTAGGGCAATATAATGATCATCATGGTGATGATCATTATGTTAAGAAACTTGAATGATCCAATAACTTTAACTTGAGACCGATTGAATTTTAATTTCTTGAGACCATAAGACAAACTTGAATGATCTAAGTGTTTTCTTTTCTTCGATCTTTTTTTTTTTTTTTTCCAACTAATTCTCCATTTTATTTTGTGATGGGTTAACTTTGTCATAGTGGGCTTTAGTCGTTTCTCGAATTTCATTGATTTGGGATGCTATATCATGATTCTATTCCAAATTTCATTGATTTGTGAGCCATTTATTAGTTAGTCATTGAGCCCAAAGAAAAAGAGATCAAATTAATTCTATTAATCAACGCTAATAAAGTTAGACATTCAGTCCCATTCCGTATATAAATATACTTAAAAATTCCCATGCATATATTATATATATATTGGGATTTTGGATTTAGATCACAAGAATGTTTGTAACCACATGGAAACTGAATCTCAATCTTATAAAATAATAAACACAAGGGATTAGTTTAATTAATCAAAAGCCTGCATTAAAATGCAAACTCCTACGAAGAACCGAATCTAATCTAATCTAATCTAATCTAATCTTGGTAAAAGAGAATTGGATCAACATTAACACCACATCTAAATATTAGACATGGGAAGGGATGTCAGAAACGAATTCTCTCTGCAAAACTCATCATCACTCCAACCTTTTGTAAGTTCCTCTCTCCCCAATAAACGCAAACCCACATGCCAACTTTGTCCACAGACATGATCTATGGCTGTCCTATTGAAGGATCATGTCCTTTAGCTTTTCACAACTTAGTGTTATATATATATATATATATATATATATATATATATATATATATATTGTCCAATGCGTGGGTCCATGAGAACATTTAGAGTTAAAGAAACTTCCATTTTTCTCCTTTCACTGGATTTCTCACCTTCTCTTCACTTCTTGACTGAAAATTTTCATACAGATTATATATTGTCTTTTGGCTTCAAATGCAAAAAAGGGTTGAGATAATTATCGAAAGGGACTTCGAGAATTCTGACTGATTTTGTTACCGCACAGAGGTTGTTTATGTCTACATAGATAGGAGGCCTCTAATTGAAACCCAGCGGCTTGACTTTCGTGGACTTACACAAATATTTAGGATTTTTTTAATTTTCTTACAAGTGCCGTCAACTTCTTTATTTTATTTATTTATTTATTTTGCTCGGATGGTAAAGCAAACCCACACTTTATTGTTGCATTCATGTTATTTTAAAATGGTTCAATCTTTCGGATTGAAAAGTATTAGCATGGTGAGGATATTACCCACCTACCTTTTTAAAAAAAATAAAAAATATCCAACTATATTTTTATTCTCTCAAGATCTCTGATTTAATGGACCATTACTGACAAATTATTCAAAAAATAGGAGATGTGTTCTGCAAATGGAAAATTGTAAGGTGATTTAACCACCGGTTAATTAGTGACCATGGTTCAGTCTATAATATCTCTGGGGTGGTTCAGTGTTCTAAGCTTGGGATAAAGAAGTGAGTCCTTCCTCGCATGTAACAAAATTTAGTCAATCTTAAGTCTATGTACTTTTGAGGAGCAAAGGTCGACAAAGACGCGCAATTAGACCTATTTAGGTCCATAACAAATTAAACCTAGGTTTTGGTTATAAAGACAGCGTTAGAAACTCTTCTGCATGTACGTACATAGAAAAATAATAATAATAAAAAAATTGGTGTGAGAGAGAATATTATTGACAATATATATATATTACTGTAATCAAACATATATATATATATATATATATATATATAAAAGCCGTACCCTCCATCCACTCGGTGAAAAAAGACGATGAAAGGTTGGGACCCGAGAAAGGCTGAGTTGCCGCATAAGGGGAGACATGGGCCAGGCCCTTTTCAAAATGTGGAGTCAATTAAACCAATTATTATTCTCCTCTATCATTTCTATTAATATCTGTACCCTGTGTATAGTTTGATCATGTGAAATTAAATTGTTAATGCAACCTACTATAATACCTCAAAAATGAATTAAAACTTAAATTAAATAATATTATATCTCGAAATAATATATTACCTGGTTGTTATATTTTTAAAGTAAATATATTGTTTGAATTATATCAATATTGCATTTTCGATTTATTGAATTGCTTCAAGATCATTCAATATACTATGAAAGTTTTAATTTTAATTTTAATTGACTTAAAAAAATTAGAGTAAAGTGTAAAAAATTTCATGAACTTTTTACCTTTTGCAGATAATCCCAATGAATTACAAATTGTCCCCTTGAACTATTGATTTGTTACAATTAAGGATAAATCTATCAAAAAAGACTAATTTACCCTTTCTCCTTTTATATTAAATTATTTTTATTATCTTTTCTCATATCTAAATATTAATTACAGAAGTTATCTTAGTTTTATTATTAGTATCAATTTATCATAAAAATGAATATATATATATATATATATATATATTTGGCTAAAATTAGGTATAGTAAATTTTTTTTTTTTTTTTGGGATGGGCTTGAGCCCTTCCCTAAATCCGCCAGTGTAATCAAGACGTTAAGATATTTTGCAATTAAATGTGATAGTTCACGAGAGATTATGTACAAAATTTAGTTCAAATGAATTATTTGCAAAATCCAACATAGTTCACGAGAGATTTTTACACTTTATCCAAAAACCTTAATGCGTGCTATATTATATTATATGTGTGCATACTGCAATAAATTTGTGTAGATTAAAGCACATTTTTGTGCATGAATTACAAGGAAAATGATATAAAAAAAAAAAAAAATGTCCTGAGATTTTTAAAACTATTAAAGTGTCAAACATTAATTGAAATAATATAATAGGATAGAGAATTTATCTTACTGAGTATTGTATATATGAGTTTAAACCCTACCCCTTTTTTTTTTTTGTTTTTTTTGCAATAAACCCTACTTATTCAAGTGGTCAAAAAAATCAATTCGAATTATAAAAGGTAACCCTATTTGAATCAAGAAGATCGATGGACATTTTTTTTTTTTTTTTTTTTTTTTCCCGGTAATTAAGAAGATGTACATGTTGGTATGATTATATACTGTGGACAAGTCGGGTGAATTGATTTACCCTTCGATCCACATGCAATGGATAAGTGAGGAGAGAGATTCGGGAGGTAAGAGAGAAAGCTGCTGATGGCGATGGACCATGAGAGAGAGAGAGAGAGAGGAGATAATATCGTATGTTTACATTCTAGAGAGAGAAAAAGAATGGAGAGAGAGAGAGAGAGAGAGAGAGAGAGAGAGAGAGAGAGAGAGGGGTGAGAGCCCGAGGATCGAGGGACGTGTACATACATTCCTTCCACAAGAGAGAAAAGACCATTGTCATTGACCAGATGGGTGGCATGCCCCAACTGAGACCAAAGCTGCCCGGTTTGATTAATCTCACGTCGTTTTCTGCTGCCCGCACACTAACTATGTCCGGTCACGCAAATGACCGATAAAGTAGTCTGGTCCCACATGGGTTTATATTGTCTACGTGTCGGTCAGGTCCTCGCGCTCCGGACGGCACGCGCGATCAGGTACGTATCATAAAAAGCAGCAGGTAGTAGTAGTACAATACATACAATACGGTACATGTCAAAAACAGATTATATATATATATATGTAAGAATTGCTGTGTGTATTGATATTAGATACCAGTAATAGCATAAAAAGTAAAACTGAGGCTTTTTAATTCAAGTTTGTCTATAATTGGAGCTCTATAATTGAACTGTAGTATGTCACTGCCAAACCAACATGCATGGTTTTTCTGCATCTTTAATTTGGTTTCCCTTTCCTTTCATCTTTCATTTTCTTCTTTCACCGACCACTATTCTGACAGTCCTCCCCTCCTCTCCCCCTTAATTAGATCCTCAGGTACCACTACTGCACCTATTTTTTTTTTTGTATTCTATGTGTTTTTCTCTCTCTCTGCGTGTGTATACATGTATACTCCATATATACACGTACATTAATATGAATGCTTATATTGTAATCGTGCAGTTCAAATGATGAAATTTAAATTCCCTTCATAATAAATAGTGTATGAATCACTTTAGTGATTGAAAAATGGTTGTACAAATGCGAGACATGTAGACCCCTCCTCTCTTCTCACCACTTCTTTACTATACTATTTATTTAATTAAATTTCAACAATTATTTATATTCTATATTATGTGTATGAAAATGACCACACCCATATAGCATTAGCACATTGTTTTGGATTCCATGCCAAAACAGTGTTTCGATCATCGGGTGTTGTTACAAAACAATTTAAGGGTGTTGTTACATCAACTTGACTATTAACAGATTGTCTTATGCTTCTGGTGGTAGGTAAAATTAAACTATTCCAATTCCATGATTAGTGTCTCCTTCATATCGATCGCTTTCAATGAAGTTCCATTACCCTCAATTAATCTTTCAAAGTGTGAACTCAACTTTAGGTAGTTAAGCAATCAAATGTTGTATTTCTCTTTCACAAAATATTCCACAAAAAACTTAAAGTTTTTCTTTATATTCGTGTTGATTAACGATTTTACCAAGTAAGTGCCTGACAATCCAAAGTCTCGATTGTTAACTCTTGGTCTTCAAGTCAAAAAGCATGTACGGGACCAATATTTAGTGGGTTTTTTTTCCTTTTGTTTGTGTGGAAACAAGACAAATCTTGTTCATGACCTATTTAGTGCATGTTGTTTTTTGTACGTACTATATTCATATATTAGATTATGCAATCAATTTACTGTTATGGGAATTATTGTTTATTCCCAAGTCAAGAATCACTTGTCATACTCATGTTTTAACCTCTGAATCACATCAATTGCATATTCAAAATCCCTAGTTAATTGCTCACAGAGTTGTGATTGATCCACGTACGTACGTGCAGAGAGCTTCACAACATAATACAAGTGTATATATATACAACACACGTATTGGAATAATTAGTTTAGACTTTAGACTGTATGAATAACACAATGTGTAGCACACGATCGATGATTCGATGTGTAATCATCTTGATTCTATCCAATGTGTGTGTGTGAAGCCATAAGTTTCGGGACAGTGGCTTTATAGTTGGAGGGTGGGGACATAAACTTTACACGTTTTTCCATGTGATAAGCCATCTCCTTGAACTTGTAATGATTTTTGTTGAACACAATCGATCTTAAGGATACAAGATTAATAAAACCCTAATTAACAAAGATTATTGTTTTAGTAAACTTGATTGCTATTATCATTATACATATATCAATTATACTATATATATGTAGCTCCTGTTCATCCCACTTGGGACCTATAAAATTGATTTTTGTAATGCTAAGCGAATAGTTTATACATCACTTCTATTGTACTCCAAAAATTCAAATTTCACAAACTCATTTTAAATCGATTACAGAAACATCCACTTGCTTTTTAAATTAATTTCATTCTTATTTTATCAACGCTATATATTTGAATGGAATTGGTGGTGCATGGCATTGATATGTGTGCCATGTGACTTAAACATTGAGGTACTAAAGTTTTGAAAAGAAGCTACCTTATCAAATCACAAAACGGAGTTTTAGAAGGTTCAAGTAAACTCTGATAGGGTTCAAACATTCAATAATATCATCTTTAAAAGAAATATTGTACCATCTGAGTTAATTAATGTTCATTAATAAAGGAATTCAGCCTTCGTATATAGAAGATCATACCTGATTAGTTCGATTATACAATAAGAAAAGTACATGAAAATGTTGTAAGAAATCAAGCCTTTAATTTCTAAATAAGTTTTTAGAAATTTGTAACCAATTTAAAATTAATTTATAACTAATGTCTGTTTTTCATATTTTTGAAAACAAATTTGAAGAAATAAATAAATTAACCAAACACGCCCTTACTAAATCATTCTTCTCGCTCTCAGAGTCTTTGGAATCAAGAAGGTAATAATGCGGTCTTATCAAATTTGATTTTTCATAAGTGAAACAGAGTACGATAAGAAGGGTAAAGTGGGAAAAGAATAAAGGTACATTCACTTCCTTCCAAAAAAAACCATAAACAACAAAATTGCAAATCTAAAACCACTTATTTGAAAAAGTAGATGGGCAAAGCGATTGCTCTCTCTTCTTGTTATCTCTATATTAAAGCTTGCCCTACCCCTCCATACCTCTATTCTTTTACACCCACAAAAGCTTTGCCCAACAAAAACTAACAAATCAAAGTGATCATTCATATATGTATGATATATCCACCTCTCTCATCCCTCACATAGTTCACACAGTACTATACACCAACAAAACCTACTTTCTCTTTAGCTTTTCCACTACTAAAAAAGACTAACCCTCTTTTCTTTTCTTGTTTTTGGATTGTTGTAGATCTACAAAGATGATTCAAGAGCTGTTAGGTGGTGCTGGACTTGAGGGCTTACCATCTCCTTCACCGTCACCTTCACCTTCACCTTCTTCTTCTACAGCAACCACTCCCACCAGCTCATCCACCTCTGAAAACCAAAACCTAAGGTGTCCTCGGTGCGATTCTTCCAACACAAAGTTCTGTTACTACAACAACTACAACCTCACTCAGCCTCGCCACTTCTGCAAGACGTGCCGCAGGTATTGGACTAAAGGAGGTGCCCTCCGGAATGTCCCCATAGGCGGTGGCTGCCGGAAAAACAAGAGCTCCAGCTTAGCAGCACCTGCCGGAAAGGCAAGCGCCACCACAGGACGGTTGAAGACAGTAGTGACACCCGAGTTTGGAAAATCCGGCCTTGTTACCGGGTCATCCAATCCGGTTTTGTGGGCGTCGCCGCAGAATTCTCATCTGCTGTCCTTACTGAGAGCTACCCAAAACCCTAATTCTAATCCCATGTCAAATTCTGTTACTATGAAGGAAGAAGGTGGTGTTATGATGGGATCCCACATGGCGTCGGAGTCCGCAGTTCGAACCCTAGGGTTAGATGCTCTTAGCCTGCAGGTTCCTTCCATTGGTCTGTGCAGCTCTTTCTGGAGAAACAATCAACAAGATCAAGTTCAACAGCAGCAGCAGCAGCAAATTAACCATTTTCATCAACAACAAAATAATGGCTTCAATATTCATGGTGCAGAAGCTCAAAATAGTGGCATTCAAGAGCTGTATCAAAGGCTTAGATCATCAGCTAATTATAACTATCATGATCATTCACCACTAGTTCTCAGTAATATGACTTCTTCGTCTTCGCCTTCTTCGGCCATTTTGGAGTCAGCTCCAGCAGCTGGAGCTGAATTGGGTTACTGGAATCCAACACTTTCATGGTCTGATCATCTACCAACAACTAATGGTGCATATCCTTAATTAAGAACCTTTTTTTTCCCTTCATGAGCTAGGGTTTGTTGTTCTTAGGGTGCATGGTTGTTTGGTTTTGGTACATGAATATGGTTGTAGTATCAGTCCTTTTTTTTTTTTTTTTCCCCTTCTGTTTTTTGTATGTGTGTTTAAAGGTGTGTTTGGTTTAATTATGAGGGTGTACCAAGGACCAGGAAGTGTTACAAATGGAAAACATTAGGTGTTTCTGAGTGCTAGCTTTTTTTTTTTTTTTTTTTGCATAATTAATATTGCATTTATATATCCTACATAAAATATCATGAAACAAATGGCATGGACTAGTTCAATTATCTCGACAGGTGAGTGTTAGCTTTCATTTTACACAGAATAATGTGAGATTAATTTCTGATACACGAACTAATATATTTTTCTATAATACATATATAGATGTGTATATATATAGACTCAATGAGGGTCATAAATTAAATTAAAAATATTCAGAGTTAAAGATTTGGTTTTGAAATGAGATGAGATGGTGACAGTAGTGGTGGTGGGGTGGTGGGTGAATGGCAGATCGAGATGAAGAAGATTCGTTGATTTGTTAGGGCATGTGAGGAAGTGATGAATGAAGGGTTAAAAGCAGCCTTTGAAAAGAGTTTCCTTAAAACAGCAATTTGATTCTTACAGTTGGAAGGATTCCAGCTGCAGCCTTATCCAAGAGACTTGTGTCTGCTGCTTTGCTTCTCTGGATTTGAAATGATATATATGTGTGTGTGTGTGTGTGTGTGTATACATATATATATATTCCCTTCACTTTTAAACTTTAACTCAACACCACCACCCCACTACTGCAACATCAACAATCATCTCTCTCTTCCATTACTGGAACACAAATCTCTCTCTCTCCTTCTCCTGTTTCAATTTTAATTTTCAACTTCCAAGAAGTATTTACTTTCCAAGATCAAATTACAAAAGGAAAATCTTTTTCTTAGATTGCCTCTTTATATCTTTTAAATGTGACAAAGTAGCAGACGAGAAAATTGTATGAGATGGAACGACCACAATAACAAACACATATAATAGTTTATTATCAAAAATCGAGTGAGGACAGTTTTTAAATTATAACAAAATTATAAGAAATTTTATAAATAAAAATAAATTTCAATGAGGGTGGCTGCCTCTACTACTAGTGCAATTGTTGCAAAGACATTAATTAATTTAAACAATGGTACATACAAAAAAAAAAAAAAAAAGTCATAAATATATGTTACATCAAATTCTATCTAAAAATTAATTTAAAATGTTAATATATGAATTTAAACTCTCGATTTTTTACTTAAAAATAGAGGGTATAGCAAGGCTCCTTCAGTAACCATGTTCTTATACATACATGGTTCATTTTTTAACACTAAAGTGACTAATTAAAGAGCAGTAATGGTTGAAGATGTAATTCTGCGGACGATTTGTGGAAAATTAAAAGTGAAGCAAAATTTTAAATGAAAGACAGACAGACAGCCCATAAAGAGTCTCCTAGGTTTTTATAGGCAACATACAAAATTACAAAATATGGTATTTGGTCAGTTTTCCTCTCAAGTGGGAAGAGTCATTGGCAAATGGTTTTTATTAGACCAAAAGACAAAGAAGAATGGTATATGATACTATGACTGAGTACCGCAACCATATCTCACTTGAGACATCTGACTGTAAGCCCACAACAAATCTACTGCCCCTCTTTTTGTCATCTTCTTCGTCTTGCCTGCTATTATCATACCATTTTCCACCATACTCATACTTTCTCTCATTCATAGATACAACGAAATAGTTATTTTAATTATCATAACTCCTCTATCTTTCAAAGTAAAAAAAATGAATGTATAAATTTTTTAACAAACAAAAAAATAAAAAAAACGTGATTTTTACTCGTAGTCTTTTTTGGGTAAGAAATTTTTATTTATTTTTCTCTTGTAACATATACTATTATATACTATATATAGATTAGATCTTTATAACAACAGTTTTCCTTTGTTTCTATATTAAAACTAGCTACATCAATGAAACCGCATTTGGTTGATTTCGGATGTAATTTTGATTCACGGTATAACAAACAAATTTTCAATATGAATCCATTGTGCGCGCCGGAATCAGAGCCTGGCCCAAACCATTAACTATACTTTCAGAACCCAAACAGGTTCGAAAATATGGCCACTCCAAAGTCCATACAAAGGCAAACTGATACGAAAAAAAAAAAAATTAGGAGACCGAACTAATATGAAAAGGCAAAATTCAGGAAAAACAGTGGATTCGAAATTGAGGCAGTAGCCAAACCCCAAATCAAATTTATAAAACCAACCAATAGGATCCCCCCCCCCCCCCTAACGAGGGGGCAAAAGACGGGTGTATGTGTTTGGTTTACTATTCACAAATAAATAAAAATTAGGAAACCAAAGATAGTTTGGAGAGTTCTGCAGGAGTTACGGATGATCTTGTACAACTCGAATAATACAAATTAGAAAATTGTAGTATGAGCAATTTAGGGAGGATAAAGGCACATGAAAAAGGTTCCCTATATCATATAATACTGTACATGTCATTATTATCTTCTTCCAATACTAATTATGTGCTATAATTGATGGGAAAATTTTACCTACTGCAATGCAAATTAACAGATGAGATTATGAAAATCATCTTCAGATGCCTCTCTGGAAAAGTAACCAATACAAGGCAGCATAATATAGAAGATCAAGCTGCTGGAAGAATACAAAAAATTCCACATTAAAATGATGAGACAAGAGAAATCTTTATTATGATTATGATTACGAAGAAATCTAAAAACAATGACAATTGTCAAGCTTTTGGCACTTAGCCTTTGAGACAGTCACCCCCTTGTGACTGAATTATACAAGTAAAAAGAAAAAGATAGAAAGTTACATGAATGACAGAACCTACTACAAGTTTACAGCCTTGCCACAGAGTAATGCATTTGGAGGGATGTCGTACTCAGTAAACACACTGCGTTCATTGTTCCACACTCTGAGGTACAGTTGCTGTCCTAGATATTGCCTTGGCCAGATTGCAGACCTTAAATTCCACATGCCCTTGTTGTCCAATGACACCAATATTGCACTCCAAGATTTTGGATATACCTATATTGAGCAAGTGTTAAATCCATATCAAATCACCAACACAAAGAACTCTAAAAATAACTACATTCTTCCAGTGTTTATCAAGTGCAAAAACCACTCTCTGGTAAGGAAGGGAAATTGTTTGCCCTCTGTTACCTGAACAGTGTATCTGCTGGTTGCATCAACCAGGTTGTAGCGACTTCTCAAAGTAGAATTCCACTGACCAGAACCAAACCTGAGTTTTTAGAGGTCAATAGTCGATAGTAAATGATTTATACATGATGGATATAGAATTTCAGCAAGAAGGATAGGAAGATTTATACAGATTATGGTCAATATGGAGTTGTATATCTGGGGGAACTACATGAGACAGATTTAAGACTTATCAAGCAAAGAATAAACAATAACACTCGTGTTACATTTTATTTTCTCAATTACTTGAAAGATACTCAAAGTATAGACACAAAGACACCTACATTAAAATGTACTCTGACCTAATTCAACAATCCGCAATAGTAGGGAGACGAACAAACTGAGTATGCCCGTTACCATAAAACATGAAGCAAATAGCTAAATTTTAGTAAATTGTGAAGCTTTACCCGATTTGCCAGAAATCATAGCCATCAAGATGCCAAGACTGGATAGTGTTCTCATTGTTTTGGAAGACGATTTCTGTGAAGTCGTGAAGAGTGGTGTCTATGACTGATGTACCAAGCACTATAGGGCCAGGAGTAGGTGTGTCCTTGATTGTGTTAAGGTTGAAGATTCCAGGGATGTTAAAATAGTCAGCAAGCTTCAACGGGGTGCTTGGGTTAATGTAGGAGACGCTATTAACAGCATAACGTAGCTTGCCATTGATGTTGGTTGCTGAGTTTGCTAGCACTAATGTCCTTACTACCGGTATGGTGCCATAGTGAAATGACCCTTGAGGGTTGGGCCTGGCTGCATTTGCTGTCAAATTCCATCTTAACAGGGAAAGAAAGGAAGTTAGACTATATGATTAATAACTAAAATATATGTTAGGCTCCACACGATGTCAAAGGAGAAATCCCAAAAATGTAATGTACCTGATGGTCCTCGCTTGTTTCATAGACCAATGGATATGATAAGTAGGACCAATAGGCAATGGTAAAGTGGCTGGAGCTGTAGAACCGTCATAGTGAAGAATTGCAGTGGTAGTCAGAATGGGCTTTGTAAAACGAGTTGAAGCAACAATAAAGTAGTCCTTTGGTGTTGCATGTAAGTAGACCATAACAGCTACAGCTTGGCCAACATGAATGTCGAGTGATTCATACACATCCTGCATAGTATGAGCACCTTCAACTTCTACCAGTGTCAATGTATGGCCCTGAACCCTAAAGTTGATTGATGTTGTTAATCCCACATTTGACACCCTAAACAAATAGGAATTCCCTGAAAGTACATAAACCAAACTCAATGATTATGAACGAGATTTTCATTTTCAGTGCTGATTAAAGGAAAGAAATCAACCATAACATGTGTTCACTACAGAAAATAAATAAATTAATTAAATACAATGAGATGAGGAAATGGAAGATGGACAATCAATGGGCATGCCTACCTTTTTGACCCGTGAAAGAACAGGAACGTACTCCATTTATAAGAAGAGCATCAGGAAAAGGAAAAGGCTTCCCTGAATCCAGTGTTTGTTGTAACACCTGCAAGCATACAATGACTACAATATTAAACCCTGTGAAAATTAACCTCAACTGACTGTCTCGTCCAAATACCTCTAAATCACAATAAAATTGAAAAGTGGAATGCCAGAACGGTCACCTAATAATTGTCGTGTACACACTAATTTCCACAATCTTTATTTGATTGGAATATACATGTTTTCTTGGCAATTATTAATTATACAAACAACTGTGCTATTATTGTGATGGAAATGAACCATATATTTTTTCAAGCCAAACCTAAAAAAGTAACTTCGATACATTTCTAGAAATTCAGGATTACACTGTTGAGTTTGGGAATAAAAGGCTATTTAACTTTGGGTTTTCAATTCTTAGAAGTACATCTGTTAGGGGAAAATGAAATCCTTGATTGGAACTGGATAGTTAATAGATACCGACTCATTACTAGGAAAAGAAAGAAAAATAAAAGTGTTGCGTGTATAAAATTTTATGGTTAAAATGCATAGAATTGAAAAATACAAACTTCTTATTTATGCTTATATGCTTCAAATGTTACGGGTATCAGTTTGCTAATAAATAAAATTATGAGATTTTGTTTCGCACATGAAATTTTTAGCAAAAGTAGGTGCATTCTGTTAGTCCTCCATAATGAGTTTTCCATGGGCATTTGTCGCCTCTATATTAGATAAAAGCGGTTTTTTATATTGAGGTCAGTTCAAGCTTCTATAATATGAATTTAAAACACAATGTACAAGGTGATGCACATAGACTGTGTAAGTGACATCAGCCAAGTAAAATCAAGCCCAAAGAAAATCTGCAACCATTGCAGACTAATTACCAAATGCACCTGTAATTGAACTACAAGCCCATACATTAGGCTTGTAACCCAAGCCCTGCCTAAAACGACCCAGCTATGATCATTCTCAATTACAGTAATGCATTTCCATAAATCCAGTAGTGTATCTAGCTTTGAAGGCAATATAAACCAATATACTATTTCAGGAAAGTGAACAAAAAATTATTGACTACAAACCTTGTGATCAGACTTGAACCAATCACTAACGAGTAAAGTAAATTCTTCAGCAGGTTTGGGATATGGGACTGATATCACGGACCTTGATGCAATATTCAAACCCCCAAAACCACCAGCAGCTCTATGCATCAAAGTTGAAGGGAAGTATGTGTAGGTTCCAATCTGATCTTTCACTTGCATCTTGTATGTCCAGTTTGAGTTAGGAGGGATTGGGCAATTCGTTCCAAGCACTCCATCTTGCCAGGAGGTCTTTCTCTGTTTAACTCCATTCCTGGTTCCCCCATCATAAAATTAATGTTTATCAGTCCTAATCAAAATCTCTGAATAACAATATATGATTGACAACCCAACAAAAGAACACACCAACACCTTGTCACTGAGCTACAACCAAGTAAAAGAGGAGGGGGTGGCACAGAATGGAAATGGAAGGTACATCAATGAAGAATAATATGCTTGCATTTGTGACAAGCGACATACGAACTTTAAAAAACTTAACATCCTTTCCTTCCCATTTGTCAGCTACAAACAGTTAAAGCCTCAAACAATTTGAAATGAACTATTTGCTACATTTTCTACTCCATATATCAGTCATAGGCTGAATTTAAGGCCCTAAAAAGAAAAAAACTTAGGAACGGCTTCAAAATTGAGGGATTAATGCAGATGGTTGGCATCAATTAGTCACATTTATTAAAGCTATATATGCATGGATGTCCAATTACTGTACATAAAGATAGCATTATATAAAAAAAATCTCCAAATAGATATAAATAGTCCAAGAAAGCTTTCTCCTGTTCAAACCATGCCTATAAACAGTCAGTCTCCACTTGGGCTGACATAAAGCGATCCATGTCTAATCCACATTTGGGGCAGCCTTGAATTGTCACATGCATGAGACATAAACCCACACTCCGGCAGTATTACTAACACCTACAATCTACAACCCACAGAAAGTTGATCCTACTTTGCATTACTTGGTCAATTTGTGGAAGTGCATAAAACATCATAAAGCCAAGTTTTACCGAAACCAAATGCAAACCTATATGAGCATGGATGACTTATACAAACATAAGAGAAGGGAAGGAAGAAAACACTGACCATGTAATGAGGAAAGGCTCATCAAGCTTATTGATGACATTAACAAGTATGTTGTCATTGGTGACGCAATCAACGGTGGGGCCAGGAAACTGCCCATTAATAAGGATGCCCTGCAAAAACCAAGACGAAAATTCAAACCAGAAAAAAGTTTAAAGGAAATATGTGAAAGTAGAACAAATTAATCTCATGATTACAATTAAAGTACAATCAACAATAACGATAATAACTAGCACGAACCCAAGGGGTAGATTAGGACATCTCATAGAACTTCAAATAGTTCAACAAATTGAACTCAAATAGTTCAAGAAAAGCTCAGATCAATTGCAACGCTACTAGCAAAGACATGTTGGAGCATCACCTATGTCCCGAGGGATACTCCCATCCAATACAGGATTCCCCTTTTGAACCAAAAAATATAACAAAGTATAATCAATAATAACAAAATGCAATGGGTTGAATATTTACTCTTTGCTCGACACCAAGCGGAGAAATTGTTCCGTATGTAACTTCCCACGTAAAAAATCTATATGGGTCCTCAGCATTCACCCAGTAGACACTCAACCAAGCCAATATCCCAAGGAAAAAATGCTGGAAAATGGCCGGTCTCATCTTATCAAAAATTCAGAATCTCTTCTTCCAAAAAATCATCCCTGCCCACCAAAAGGATGGTAAAAGAAAACATGTTCAGAATAACACAAATTTGAATGAATAGAGAATTTACAATTCAACTGATTGGTTGAATATAGAAACTAATCATAACAAGACCACCAAAATTTAAAACAAGACTGTAAAATAAAACACAAATTGAAAAGCTCAATTCAATTTGATAATCAGAAAATGTTGGTCAACAGAACATTCACATTTTGCATCTGAACTATGTACAAGTGCATATTTATGCAGGCACAATTATGAAACCAATACATTGAATTAGTCTATCATTCAACAGGTGCAAATTTTGATGTACTTGATACTTACAAATTCGAAAGCCCAAGTACAAGAAGAGAGGAGAGAGACAGAAGCGCAGGGCTGAGTCCACGATGGTTGAGAAGTACACAAACAGTTTATATAAGAGGCCACTGCAAAAGAAGAGTTGACCGCGAAACATCTCTCTGCTGATGATGATGAAGCCAACGTGGTCTCGAGTACCGAGAAACCGAAGCACATTTGCTGCGCACTTCATGCTAACCTCTCTGTCTCTGTTCTACTTCTTCTTCACAACTCATTTCTAGCTCAGTTTTGAGAACCCAAGTGATCCCAATTGACCAGAATTTCTCGTAATTCGCAGAACCTTCCCGCGAAAGAAATGCAACAATAATCGTGTGTATCCAGTGTGTGTAGATTGTAGAATTGTAGATACACACATGACAAATAGTTTATTCTTAATTTCCCCTATTTGTCTTTGTGAAACTATAAAATTGGTGTGTGGGTTTAGATTCAGAAACGTCGGTGAAGAGAGGAAGGGGAGATCTAAAGGAGCGAGAAGGACGCAGCCAAGAACGGATCATCATTAAATGCGAGTTAATAATAATAATCATAATTAAATGAAGAAAGTGTAGGGAGAGAGTGTTTTTAATATATGAACGAACGATTGAAAATTAAGGCCTTTTGAGAAGTTCGCATGGATATATATGATGAGGAAGCGAGGACAGTGGGAGGGTTTTGTGGATCGGGTCTGAGATCCAATTCTTCGTTTCTAGGGTTCCGAGTTTTAGCACAAATAAATTTAACAACGTTTTACCTACCAAAAAACAAATTAACGGACGGTTTAGCGCGCTCTCTCTCCCTGCCTTTCGACTCCTTTCCAGCCCTCGCTACTTTGCATTACTTGTGGATAGCATAGAATTGGAGTTAAAATTGATAAAATTTAAAAAAAAAAATTAAATTAAATTTTATCAATTTTAATTTTAAATTTCCAATTTTATATGGTCCGAACACACCCTCCGTACAATTTGTAAACTTACATTTCGCTTTTATGATTGAATTAGTTCTTGTGACTCAACATATTCCTTACTTATAGAATTGACTGTCATATAATTTGTTACAATTCGTTTACCATGTATGAATAATAATCGTTTTGCACGCCTTTCTGTATATTAATGTCAACATCGTTTCGCACACTTTTGGTGTTCATTAATAATCAAGGGGGAATCAGGAATTTGGTTAGGGGAACATAAGCATGTAAAAATATTTTTGTCTCCCTAACTGTAGCAAGACAGCGAGTTAAAATGTAATAGAAAGAAAATGCAATTTTTTCTTTTGAAGATAACAAAAAGAAATTCAAAAAATAAGGGTAAGAATGAAAATATATAAATAATTAAAAAAAATAGAATTCTATAATTTTATTGGGATAATTTATTATTTTTGGGGGGATTTTATAATTTTTTACATATGATATACATAGAATAATATAAAATCTAGTTGGCTACGATAACTAGTGGGTGCTTCGCGATCTGTCCCAAAAGACTAACTTACTTAAGTGGGGTTAACACCCAACTCATACATATCCAATTCACTTAACATCCAGATTCGATGTGGGGCAAGTCTCTCCTTGTAATATTCTCATCAATGTGGCTTACTCAGACGCCTATCGGGCCGGATACCTGGCGTGACACCGAATCAAAAACAGGGTCTAACTTTGATACTAATTGTAACAGGTGAGTGCTTTGCGACTCTACCCAAAAGTCTAAGTTAGTAGGTGGGATTAACACCCAATCCATATATAACCAATTCACTTTCCATCCGGATCCAATTTAGAACAAGTCTCCACTTGTAAAAATCGTAAACACAGAAAATGTGTAAAATGACAATATTTATACGGAGTGAACATGCAATGACAAACCTTCTTTTTAAAAAGTGATAATAAACTACTAAATTAAAATCCTTATCAATTAAAAATTATTTATTTCTTATTTCTTATTTCAACAACATGCATTATTAATTACCATTTTTATTGTCATCAAACTATTGTGTCAAGAACCCAAAAAAAAAAAAAAAAAAAAATTGATATTTGCCCTCCAAAAAAACCTCAACACTTCACTTCTTTTATTTTATAACTTAAATAACAAATATAACCCTAGACTACTTATTTAACATAAAACTCCATGATTTTGAATAAATTAAAAGGGTTTCATGGATAGTAAACTACATAATATATATAATATTACAGGTTTTTGAGCTTTCTATTTGTCCCCTACCTCTCTGTGTTCCTTTCTTTCCTTCATCATCAAAATGCCTAACGGGATACATGATGGATTTGCTCCTCCACTTTCTCTCTCTCATTTTTCTTATGTGTTTAAAGTTCATCCTTGTTTTATCTAGACTCTTAACACATCTCTTTTATGTGTTACTAATTAATACGATGGTAATATTTATTTGGTTTAATTTAATGTATTATTTTAGGGAGACAAAAGTGATATGGTGATGATTGAGAGAGATTATGAAAACAAGTATAGAGAGAGATGAGTATAGGAGAGGAACAAGGGAGATAAAAGTGATCTAAGTAGATAGAGAGAGAGGGAGAGAGAGGAATATAAGAGAGAAGTAAGGGAGATAAAAGATGGTGAGTCGTTTTTGCACACTTTTTCAAATGGAATCGGTATAAGTACTGCACGGAATATACTTTCACCCATAAAAGATTAAAAGGTGTAATTGAAAGTTATTTTTGTGAGCATTTTACCCGAAGTACTCGGTACCTTAATGCCAAGCTTATCCCTCCATTTATGACAAGAACTCAGAAAGGGAGATATGGAAGGCTTGGAAACAATATGAAGAAGATGGGGAAAAAAATTCGAAAGAGAGAAACATTTAGGTGTTGCAACCAGGTCCTAAAAAAAACTATTTTTAAAGAGTTTTTTTAAGGGGGCAGTTCTGGAGACTATGGTGTATATATGTATATATATATATATATAAACATGTGGATCATGATAACGTAACTCCTCGTCTGCTAATTTTTATTTTTGACCTTTTGACAATTAGAATGTATCCCAAGGTCAAATCTGAAAGAAAAATTACAGAATTGAGTTTACAACACATGGTAAGTTTAAGGAGACCAATCCACTGACCCAATTCCAACACACGTTAAATTAATTTCTCCCCTATTTTGTTTTGAGTAATGATACACCGAGTTGCTAGGCCTATTACATTTAATTCGTCAATACATATCAAATATAAGAAAGTGAGACCTTCACTTTCTTATTTAATGCATTAATGACCAATAAAATTTAGTAAAATCTATTTGATTGATTTGAAAGTCTGGACTGGAATTTTTCTCAGGTGCATTAGTGCAGTGTTTGAACTACAAAATGTAGAGCACCTAAAATAATGTAATTAGTCTCTTCTATTCCCTCGTTAACTGCAACACCAACACCATCTCCTTGCTAGGAAAACAATCAATCACCAAAAGGCCCATCCACAATTACTAGCTTATAATCCTATTTTCCTACAACAATGGGATCCTAAAGTTCCATTGAAATGTGGATTCAATTTGGATTAATGTGCCCAAATCCATATCCACACAGAAATGATTCAAATTAAATAAAAACAAAGGTGTGATTTTTTGTTGTTGATGACTTGGTTAACATATTAAACACTTAAAAGTTCTAACCATGGCAATACAGTGAACCAACTTCTATTCCATACATATGCAAGCTAGAAAAAGAAAATAGTAAATCACCATCGATCCAAAAGTCCATTCGAAGAGAGCAAAACAATGAATCCAATCCATAATCTGGTAACTATGTTGACCAAAACTACAAAATATAGTAATTCTTGTACATTGAAGTCAATAATTCACAATTATGAATGTACAGAGCACCCTGTTCTTGTATTTACAGATACTGAAATCAATATATGCTACTACTAACTACTAATATACCTCAGATTTGTTGATTGACAACTTGAAGTGGCACAATGGCCACTCTGCAATGCATTGGACATGGTACATATGAGAGCATGGCATCCGAATAACTCGAGACCCAATGACGATTTCATCCTTACATTGATCATCAATATCACCTCCAAATCTCACCGGCTCTATATTGTCTCCTGAAAGTACTCCCTCATAGCTCGTTCCAACAATGACAATTCCAAATCTTGATCATACTCGTTGGCCAAGAAAGGACACAATGACAATTCCAAATCTTGATCATACTTGTTGTCCAAGAAATGAGCTGTTTCCCTCACTATTCTTCCTATTTCCCAATAGATCGAACCAAAGTCCAAAAACGATTTCAACATAATCATCTGATTAACCTTCTGATGAACTCAAAACCAACGTTCTACCTGCTCCTTTGCAAGGTTTATTGCTTCAAATTCAGCGTGGGGTAATATACCGGAGTTGCAATAGCTATTGACCGTGAATTCTCCAACTTAGTCTGCTCACATGGCATCTTCTCTAAAGGGAAGGGGATTTTCATGCCATGGATCGTTGTGTAGAGGAAATCATAGGTTAAGGACTTGTATAAACGTCGTGATGACGCCTCTCCGATACAGTCTCGGGTGATGAGGCCTCTGGTTCTGCTTTCAGGGTATTCATCTAAAGGATGATAAGTCTGCTCCACAAAGAATTTGAAATCGACGTTGATGGAAAGCAGAAATTTACCATCATCGCCTCCAGTATTACTATAGCCATTAGCCCAAACATAGAGCTTTTTTGTGGTGGCGGCCATAGCAGAGAATTGGGCTGGAGATGGAGGGGAGAGAGAGATCAGGCGCAGATGGAGGAGAGAGAGAGAGGAAATTGAAGGCGTTACTACATGTGTGTGTCTATAATTTTAGGAAACTTAGTGGTTAAGTATAAAACTTACCTTGATCGGTATTGGGTTAAGAAGTAAAAAAAAACATAGGGCAAAATAGAAAACCTCTTAATCCTCTTATAATTTATTTATTTATTTATAAATTCCTCTTATAAAGTTATTCTTTATTAATTTTTAATATTATATATGTGAGTGGATGATGCCATTAATTTTAAAACATCCCTCAACTTAAATAAAATTAATTCCTTATCCTTACTGTTTTAAAAAAATTACATTATAATCTTTACTTGACATTAGAATTTGGAAAAATAAATCTAAATAAATAAAAATATTTATAAATTAATTAGAGTATTTCATATGCATTGCTTATGAAAGGCCAAATTAGTAATGTGTGCGTACTAATCCTTCTGGGAGTAAGATTTAAGATCTAATAAGTGAAATTCATCATAATCCAATGGTGCTAACCAATTTGACTAGCTGATGCTAATAAACTAACAAACTTCAAATATGAAAAGAGTTTGGGTCTTCTTACAATAGTGCTTTCGGGGGATTTAATTCTCTAAAACCCACTGATTGTGCTTCAATTTTAAACACCGTACATCCAAAGTTTTGAATCGAAAAAAGTGTTTTGAAATTTAAATATTTTATTCTTTAGTTAGATAAAGCCAAAATATGGCCGGATATTTTTGGAACACTTTCAAAGTACGATGGTTTTGTAATTTTTTTTTTTTTTTTTTAAAAAGAAATAAATTAAGTGCAATTTAAAATATATTGTAAATTAATTTTAAAAATTACATAAATTTTAGAGGAAATTAATAATAAACATCTAGGGATGGATACCCGGCCTGGTCTAGACTGACCTTCTCAGACTGGGGTCCAAGACTCTAGTCCGACCCACTAGGACTGGGGGCCTGGGCCTTTCTCACATAGATCACCTAAAAGTAGTAGTAAAAACATAACAATAAAAAAACATGGCATTTGATCAAAATAAGAATTCCTTCCTTTATACTAACTAAAATTATATGTTGCAACCAGTCACGATCGAATGATCGATTCACAAAAAATGAATCGAATTAAATAAAGTTTTATAAGCATATACTCCTGAAGCCAAAAATTATATAAAATTCTAGAGATATACAAACTGAGAAGCCGAAATATTTCAAAATCACCCATCCTTGGATATATGCTGTCTTCCTCTTGCAGTCATACCTTCATGACTGATGGACAAAAACACTGAACAAATATGATATTATTCATTCATGTCGTCCGGTGGCCTTGCCACAAAGTAGGACATTAGTAGGAATGCCATATTCGTTGGCAGGGGTGCGCACCGGGTCGTAGACTCTCAGATAGAATTGCTGCCCAAGATACTGCCTTTCCCATATTGCAGACCTCATATTCCACATGCCTTGATTGTCCAGGGAGATCAGTATCGCGGTCCAAGAGTTCGGATATACCTGCAAGAAAATGCGTGAATATCATTAGGAGCCAAAATAAGAGAATATTAAGCAATACAAGTGAGGCATTGAAATGCAAATGAAAAAATATAGAATAGCAACAAATATCATAGCAAAATTTGTCACTTGTTAATAACTTATAATGGCAAAAGATATCCGAGGCACACAATGTAATGGCAAAAATAGCATCATTATTTAGACATTCCATTAGGTTACCTGTGCCGTATGCCTGGTAAGAGCATCCTCTAAATTGTAACTCTTTCTACCGGCTTGAGTCCACTGTCCAACCCCGTAACTGCAATTTGCAATTAACAATAATTAGAAATTAACTGCCTCGAAAAAGGAATGAGTAAAAGAAAGCAAACCACGGTGACTTACCCAACAACCCAGAAATCATAGCCATCAAGATGCCAAGATTGCATGGTGTTTTCGTTGTTTTGGAAAACAACTTCAGCGAAATCATGAAGGGAGGCAAGCATAACGGATGTGGACAGGGATGCAGAGCCACTAGAGGGAACGCCTTGGATAGAATTTGTACTAAACACCCCGGGGATGTTGAAATAATCAGCAAGCTTTAAAGGGGTATCGGCATTAATGTAAGAGATCCTATTAACAGCATATCGTTGCTTGCCATTGATTAGAGGTGCTGAATTTGCCAGCACAATTGTCTTTGTTGGTGTAACCTTTCCGTAATGGAATGAACCCTGAGGATTGGGCCTTGCTGCATTTGCTGTCAAATTCCACCTGCAAGAAACACAAAGGCCAAAAGGATTCTATCAGATCCTCATACACAAATGAAATGTGAATCCAAAAGGCCACATTGGTTATGACGGAAAATTAGATCAGTATGATAGAATTTTTCAACAGTAAAATGTACCTGTAGGTTCTGGCTTGCTCCATAGACCAGTCCATTTGGCCAGTTGGAGCAGCAGGCACAGGTCCAGAAACTTGTGTCTGAGAGTTAGCGTAGTGTAACATTGCACCTGCGAGAATAAGCTTTGTAAACCGTGTAGAAGCGACAATGTAGTAGTCTTTTGGAGGCTGATCTAAGGTAACCAGGACAGACACAGATTGTCCCACGTGCACATCTAGAGAGTCATATAAGTTCTGAACGGTGTGAGATCCTTCAACCTCAACTAGCTTCATTTTATGGCCCTGAATCCTGAAGTTCAAGGAGGTTGACAACCCCACATTTGAAATCCTGAACATGTAGGTTTTGCCTGAAAAACAAAAGAGAGTAGTACTTTGTCAATAAAACCCACTCTCGTAGGAGTGAAATCAAAACTTCAGCCATGGAAAATGTTTAAATGTCCTTCAAGCAATTAAAAGCTAAACAGTTCAGATGCTGAGAATAACCTTGATCACCGGTAAAGGAAGATTGAGTTCGGCCATTAATAAGGATGGCATCAGGGAAGGGGAGTGATTTCCCTGAATCAAGAAGTTGCTGCAATGCCTGCAAATATCAAAACATATAGCCACAAACATGATGAAAATCTATTAGGAGCACTGCAAGAATGTAAAAGATAATGCAGAGATCTATTCTCAAGTGTAGTAGTATTTAGAACTGAATTATTGTTTTCTAACGTAACAATGAAGGAATTCATTATATTACGTGACGAAGTCTAAATAAACTATAAATTTTGTTCCCTAACTGAAAAAGAAAATTCCCCTAATCGAAATTTTGAAACACAAATGGCTGAATGGTTAAAGCGCTCAACTCATAATTGGTGACTTCATAGGTTCTGTTACTACTGCAAGCATGCCATTGGGACCCTCCAACAAGTCTATTGAAACTGACTCCATCAATGTAATCTCATCATCCATACAAAACGAAGAGGTATGGTATGAAAAGTAGGAACCAACACTTTGATTGAGACATTAACTAGGGCAACTTACCCAACCAAACAACGGCTCCTAGATAACAAAAATTCAAGGAAAAGAAAGCATGATTTAGAGCTCGAATTTAGCTTTATGACCTGGATCTCTGCCCTGGTTAATTTTTTCAAACTTCTAAGATCCTGTATCATTGCCATTACTAATGTAAGAATAAGAATCCAACTCTATTGATGTAAAGTGGCAATTTGATTTCAAGATTTCCCTTCAACTCCATCCCAAAAAAATTAGAGAAATTGTGGACTTCATTTTTAAACTATAAAGCTTAAAGGTGTATATCATCTAAAACAACAATTCCTAACAATTTAAATAAACATAGATTGAGAATACATTTTTGAGAATCAATAAATCAGAAATTAGATACCGTGTAAACACAATTTATATGTATTCTCCTCACCTTATGGCTGGTCTTGTACCAATCGCCAATAAGTAAAGTAAAATCTGCAGTAGGTAAAGTATATGGAACTGGGATTCGAGGTCTTGCATAGACATTTATTCCCCCAAACCCTCCAGCAGCTTTGTGCATCAGAATTGATGGGAAGTATGTGTAGCTTCCAATCTGATCTTTGGTCTGGAACTTGTATGTGAAATTCGTGTTTGGAGGGATAGGGCAATTAGTCCCCAACACTCCATCTTGCCATGAATTTTTCCTTTGCTTAATTCCATTCCTATATGAGATAAAGTACCCTCTTATTAAATCATGTCCTCATTGTAAATGCCATAACGAAATAAACAAAAATTGCAAAATCGAAGAGATTAGTACTGTCCTAGGCCACTGCATTTTTAAATATAGGATATTGAACAACTATTATAGAATTATCACCATTGTATAAAGTAAAGTCACAGCAAAAACCACTCATGAACACGACTAGTAAAATGCGCGGGATATAAAACTTGCTCAACATTTCTGAGCATTAAGATGTGAACTCATTATAAAGTAACTTGTAGAACTTTGAGTTGTTTAAAGTTTGCTGTTAACATCCCTTACAGTTTCAAGTTCAAATAAAACAATCATATTATATGACCATTTATAGAAACCTAAGCCCAATAACAATGTAACATGAGAAGATAGATGATGAATAGACATAAAAGAGGGGAGAGAGAAACTCACCATGTCAAGAGAAATGGTTGGTCTAGCTTATTGATGAGATTGACGATTATATTGTCATTAGTCACAACATCAAGTCTTGGACCAGGAAATTGACCATTGATAAGGATGACCTTAGTAACAAAACACCCAAACTTCAGAAATTGGAAAAACACCTCAAATAGATATTACCCATGTATGACAATTCAGTGCAGAAATGGCAATTTAGTAATTTACCAACCTGTTGAGGAATACCCAGAGGAGAAATTGTACCATAAGTGACAGTCCATGTGTAAAACTTGTAAGGGTCCTCTGCTGTCACCAGAGAAACACTCAAGAAAGCTACACAAATCAGATGGAGCAAGATTGCTCTTTCCATTGTTCCACTTCCAGCAAAAATAATCCCAATGCCTTGTATCTGCAATATATATATATATATATATATATATAAAGATATTCTTAATGTCATAGACAAACCATATATTTAAAAAAGTAATTTTTGACATGTAGAGAAGAAATGATCTCCAGACCCAAATGCAGGATAAATCAGCACCAATCAAGAAAAACACACACACACACACACAATATGAATAAAAAGTAGCCTGGTCGGCCAAATAACTTAGCAGATCTGGAAGAAGAAAAAAAGGAACAAAATGGATAGAAGAAATGGTAACATACCAAGTACTATGAATCACTACTCCACAAAATGGAATGCAGATCTCTCTCTGTCTGCTTATTCACAGCCCAAGTGAAATAGACATCAGCCTTCTTCCTCTCTCTGTTTCTCTTTCACTCTCTCTCTCTCTCTCTCTATATATATATATATTCTTTCTCTATAGATATACTCCGTCCTATATATTTATAATGAATGACAGTGAGTGTCCAGACCAAAAAGTGAATAAATTGCATCAAGGGGGTAGGTCGATTTTGAGATTCTGTTACCTGGGTAGGTCGACGTTGCGGACTCAGGTTGAGCTGGCAGACATTGAAGATCATTTTCGGCGCATTTCACGCGTTTTCTCGTACAAATAATGTTCAAATCGTTGTTTAATCATTCATCATTTACTCTCCTATTCAGTAGTTATAAGTTTATCTTTCATTTCAAAAAAATAACAACATAATTTCAAAAAAATGGCCACTACTGAACTTTATCATGATGAAATTTGTTAGGAACTAAATTCTAATGGAATTGAAGTTTAAGTAGGAAAAAGAAATTGATTTCCACATAAACAAAAGGAAGTCCTTTTTTTGGTACCCTTTTATCCGAATTGCAATATTACACTGCAAATTGTGCAAGTTATAAACTCTATTTAATTGAGTAGTTTACAAATTCAATAAATTTTTATTGCATTTGACTACACTGATATTGTGTTGCACCAAAAAGAATGATAATTCGGATATGTTACACACTCTTTAGTTACAATTAAATTTTATTAGATTTGGGAACAGTGTACTTTGAGATTACAAATCCTATGAAATCCAACTTTTTTTTTTTTTAATTCGGTTAATTTCAGACAATAAGAATTCTATTTTGAATTTCAAATCTAACCAAATTATGGCGTTCTAAACACAGTGTAACTCTCTCATTTTGAAAAGAAGGTGTGAACTGTTGAAAATTGACCGGTGCATCACCCAAATATCGCCCTTGATTTTTGCTACCATCTTTATCTCTTCTCACGCATTGTTCCTTTTCGTGTCTTTTTCAATCTTATGTGTTTATTTTTTTTTTTTTTTTGAATTTACTTTCTTTCTTCTTCTTTTTTCCACTATTTGGAAATTATTTACTAGCATATTTATTCTATATTTTTTTTTGTATGAGGTGGTATTAAATTGGGTTTGATCCAAAATTTATTCAAAATTGAATAAGCTTTCATTGCATGTGCGAAGTTTCGAAAATTGAAGTCATAATGCTATGTATGTGTGGACCGAATTAAATGTCAGCATTCACATGGACGTAACAGAAACCAATGGCCTACCACTTTTTCGAAGGGTGGGACGATATTTTCCTAATGATAAAGGATCAAATTTTAAGTGTCGGCCACTCAATTATCTTAAATTCTAATCCCGTTCACCTCATTAGCCACTAATTCTCATGTTAAAAAAAGGGCAATAGGAAGTCTCAGCTGCATTCTGGATCTTCTGTGGCGATCTCATGAGTGGGCGTGTACAAGCTTGTGTAGGTGATCAGTGGGGCTATTGTCACACTGAGCGAATTATATAAAAGTGCCGTCACTAGTAGCCAATTACACTGGACGAGTTATAGGTGTACAATTTCATATCGCCTAGATGTGAATGAGTCAAATATTATATGTATATTCAACACTCTTCTATCAAAGTCGTGATGGTCTTAAAGTCACCAGAACTCCCAAATTAAATGTGTTTAACCTGAATGAGTACTAGAATGGGAGACCCATGTGAAATCTCTGATTCGGGGAGTCAAAAGCGGACAAAGGTTGAGGTGAGGGTTATTACAAATGATATTAGAGTCTAACCCAATCAGAAGTGTGACTAACGAAAACGTTGGGCCAAAAGGGGTGATTGTAGCGACCTTGTGGGCGGATGTACATATACTTGTACAAGTGGCACCAGTAAGTTACGATACTGGACAAGTTATAAGTGCACAATCTCACATCACCTAAATGTGAATGGAATTACACAACGCATTATAAAACTGTGATAACCATAAATTTGTCATAACTATCGAGTTAAGCATGCTTAACTTAGAGCAGTACAAACTGGGTAACCCTTAGAAAATATCTGACCCAAAAAAGCCTTTCTTAGTATGAAGTAGTTTCAAAATAAATGACCTCTTGAAAAATCTTTGGCCGCCCAAAAATCAGAAGCGAACAATATTATGGGTTAGGGTTGTTACGTCTTCACCCTTATAATTTCCTCCTGTCTACTGTCGGCTTTCACTTTTGTTATGTTCAACAATTTGACCTTTCACTTTTGTTAGGTTCAACAATTTGACCACAAAGAAGTGCTAACCCAAGTGAGATCACTATTTGAGAACGAATGCTAGCGTTTAAAATTCAAAAGATGTCAAAACATATATATATTATATATATTTAATTACTATTTAAAAATTTATTAATACTTAATTTTTAATTTTATCAAACGATTAATTTATTTTTTTTTGGTAATTAGTACTATAAATTTTGTTTCAAAGTGAAAATAGTAATTAAAGCAAATAAAATTAAAAGGGTGGTATTTTTTGACCTTTTAAACAGAGTTCATTCTTATAAAACAATGAGTTTGACTTTCATTCAAGAATAAAAAATGAATACAAATAAAAGAAAATCAACTGTTATAAGTATTAATGAAAAGATGACATCATGAAAACCTCACTTATAAAAAAAGAAAATTTATTTATCATTCACTAGTTTATCTTATCACAGGGCCATACCACACACCAGAAATGTGGGACCTACGATATGAAAATTTGCGGAGTAACGCGGGGAGGAGGAGGAAGAAGATGGTGGGCATGTAAAGACAATAAAAACAGAAATGATGGTCACCAATATGAAGCGTGGGTTGTTGCTTTTAATTTTGTCTGTTTGTTGGGGATACATTCAAATGAGTCCTAAATCCTAACTCTCTTATTATTTATTTTTTTTTTCTTTTTTTGGATAAAATACAATCATATTCTTGAAGTTTGATAAAAGAACATTAAGAAGAAATTTACCTGTTTTTTGGACAAAGATATTCTTTAAAGATTCAAAAATGGACATAGATACTCCTTTATATGAAAAAATGACCAAATTACCCTTAAACCGTTTAGGAGACTTTTTTAACTTTACAATTTAATAAATGGAACCAATCTACCCTCATGAATAATTTATGTATAAAAAATAATAATAATAAAAAAAAAATTATATTGTTCACTTTTTTTTTCTTTTTTTTTTTAACTTTATAAATGTCTCAACTTCTTAAAAATATAGACGTCTAAAATGATTTTTTGATTCAATACATATATTTCAAATAAATTATATTTTATTATTACTTCTTTTTTAAATAAAAAAAAATTAAGATGCTTAATTCTTTCATCTAAAAAAATTAAACTAATCTATTTTCCTTAAAAAAAATATATATATATGGTATCAATATAACTTTATGCATCTTAAATTATATATCAAATATTATGCATTTCCCAACATAAAAGGAAAAAAATAATAATAAAAAATAATAAAACAAAGGGAAAAAAAATGATAAAACAAAAGGAAAAAACAAAAAACAAAGGCATGCATAAAGTTAAGATGGTATCTGTTTGAAATATATGTATTGGATCAAAAAATCATTTTAGACATATACATTTTTAAGACGTTGGGACATTTATAAAGTAAATAACAACTATAAAGTTTTTTTTTTTTTTACTCATAAATTGTTCACGAGGGTAGATTGGTCTAATTTATTAAATTGTAAAGTTAAAAAAGTATCCTAAACGGTTAAAGGGTAATTTGGTCAATTTTTCATGTAAAGGGATGTCTTTGTCCATTTTTGAACCTTTAGGGGGTGTCTTTGTCCAAAAAACAAATAAGTTTCATCTGAGTGTCCTTTTGCCAAACCTCAGAGGGTGTGACTATACTTTACCCTTCTTTTTTTTGACACAAAATGAAGCATAGTATCATTCAAAAGGAGGAAGGATACAGTCGAAACTAAGAGCATCTAACAGCCACTTGACCCAAACGCTCCACTCGAGATCAAAACATGTGGCTGCAATAACCTTTTTACTCAACAAGTGAGCTACAACATTACATTGGCGAGGCACCCAAACCAAGGAGGAACCATGGCATAAACAAAGGAGATAGCATACATCGTTAAAAAGAACACACAAAGCCTCAACTTTGGCTTGGAACCGCATAACATGCTGACAGTCCCCTTGCACGATGTCATTGTGGTACCCCCAAAGTTAAAGAAGAGAAAAGTTTTCCCTAAAAAATTAAACCTTCCGCAATAAACGGACTCCCAACGTTTGAGAAGACAAACTAGTTACTAGTTTAAGAGATATAATTTTTAAATAATTTTTGTATGGATAAATTACACTGACCCTGTCTTGAAATTTTGTTAAATTACACTATGTGGGGCATTTTTATATGTAACTTAATTGTAATGTATTTTACATTTAGCTTGTTTAAAAAAGGTAGGGGAAAAAGTATTAAAAAATAAAAACGGACATTATATATATATATATATATACTATTCTAAAAGTGCAGCTAATTTCTTAATATTTTTAAATTTTAAAAAAATATAAAATTATTTCATTAAATAATAAACATTAAATCACCTTATGATTCATACAATTTTCAATTTTTCTTTATAAAAATTCTAATGACGTATCATTAAATCACCTTATTTAACTCTCACAACTAAAACAAAAAAAAAAAAAAATGTAAAAAAAAAAAAAAAACAAAGCACACCTTTTTTGTTTCTAAAATACACATCCACTCCACTTCAAACATTTTTGCTAAAAAAAAAAATGTAAAAGGAAAATAAAGCACACCTTGTTTTTTGTTTCTAAAATACACATCCATTCCACTTCAAACATTTTTGCTTATTTTAAATTTAGAAATATTCTAAAAGTGTAGCTAATTTCTTAACATTTTTAAATTTTTAAAAAATACAAAATTATTTCATTAAATACTAAACATTTAAATCACCTTATGATTCATACAATTTCCAATTTTTCTTTATAAAAATTTCAATGACATGTCATTAAATCACCTTATTTACCTCTCACAACTAAAAAAAAAAAATGTAAAAGCAAAATACAACACACCTTTTTGTTTCTAAAATACACATCCGTTCATTTTCAAACATTTTTGCTTATTTTAAATTTAGAAAAATTATTAACATATATATTAACTATATAATGATTGATAATGTCTATATAAATGTTACAACACTTTAGTTTCTTGTCATTACGTGTAATGATTATGTCTCTTTAAATTTTACAATATAACCATTCCAAATGAAAAATCATTTAATTTTCTGTTATTACATTTGATTGGGAGTCTATACAAACGCACCAAAATTATCTACCAATTTATTTTTAATTTATTTTCAATTTATTTACAACCCTTCTGAGTCATATAATTTTCAAATTTTATTTATTAAAAACCTCAATTTTACGTATCATTAATTCACCTTATTTAACTCTTTGATCA